GGGCTCTATAAGGGTAGTATAGGGTTTAGGGTTTAGGGGTCGGGGGACTTAGTAAGTAGTTAGTAAGCAGACTTATAAGTGCCCTAAAAGGGACCCTAATTAGGGTTATGGTAATTATAAGTCCCTAAAATAACCAGTTACTAAGTCCCCCGACCCTCCAAGTGGAGTGATCCGAGAGGGCCTCGTCGTGCGGATTTTCTGAATTTTCAGGTCTTGGGTCTCCTTTGTCATAGTTGGGTAACCTTTTACACATTCTTATGGGTACTTAAACCCAATAGGAAATAGAAATATAGATGTTTTATCCTATCCCAACCATGAACTAGTCTCAGGGTTTTGAGGGGCTTTGACAAAGGGGCTTCAAAAGTGGGTTTGATAGGGCTTTCCAAACAAAGCTAAGGGTTCGGGTTTTCGGGTTGCGGGGTTTGGGGGACTTGGGACGTGCCTTGACACCCAAAGCCGCAGCGGTCAAGATCTACTTGAAGGATCATGGGACTTAGTAAGTAGGTCATAATTAGGGTTATAAGACCCCTAAGTGGGGTTATCCTAATTATAACCTACTTATAACCTTACTTACTAAGTCCCATGAGCCTTTAAGTAGGGTTTAGGGTTTGAGGTGTTTAGGGGTTCACAGGGCCAGGGATTAAGGCTTGTAGGATCTGCAGTGCACTTGCCGCAAAGCTGCTAGTCTAAGATGTGCACGCGCCCGGCCCCGAAGGGGTTTTGAATCCTGGGTTTAGGGTTTAGGGGCTGCTTGAAGGCTCTATAAATCTATGAAATAAGGGTCTGTATGCAAGGGTTTGTATTAGGGTTTCGTAAGGTTGTTTTATGAGTCTAATAATGGCCTGAAAATGAGGGTTCTGACGGGATGCAGGCTTGGGGTTTACTGAGTTGTAATTAGAGTTAGCGTGCTTAGCAGTACAGACTCCAATCGTTGTAGCCTGATTGCTGAGAATCAAGATCCCCCAAACCCTAAACCCTAAACCCTAAACCCTAAAACCCTAAACCCTAAACCCTAAACCCTAAAACCCTAAACCCTAAACCCTAAACCCTAAACCCTAAACCCTAAACCCTAAACCCTATGTACAGGTATCCCGAAACCACAAGTCCTGAACTCCCGAAACACCCCTCAACCCCAAAAGCCCTTAACAAACAATCCCAGACCAAGAACCCTGAATCACTATAGAATCCTTGTAGATCCCTTACTTAAAGGCTCATGGGACTTAGCAAGTAAGGTTATAAGTAGGTTATAATTAGGATAACCCCACTTTGGGGACTTATAACCCCAATTATAACCTACTCACTAAGTCCCATGATCCATCAAGTATAGAATCCTTATAGATCCCTTAGAGGAGCCTGTCGTTTAGCGTAGAAAACCTGGTGAGGCTGGGCGCGCGGAGCCCCGCTCGTCGCTCGTCACAGCTCCGCTGTGGCGGCCCAAGCTGGGAAGATATGCCCAAGAGCCGGGTTTTGTAAGGGTTTTATAGTGGTGTACAAGAGTTGTACGGGGTTCGTAAAGGATGTATGGCGGTTTTGAAGGGTTTCCGTGAGGGCTCGCACGGGCTGACAAGGGCATTGCAAAGGTTCCACCGACACTGCAGACAGCTCAGTAACGGCCCCGTCCTACTGCAAGAGTAAAAGTGCTCCGTGCATTCCTACAAAATCTACTTTGGTGGTTGTCAAAATTATGGTCCCTCTTTGGGGTCCTTATTATAATGCGGCACCTAATATTTAGGGTGCCCACAAAGGGGCCATAATTTTGACAACCACCCACTTGGACTATATAGAGATCCCCAGAACAACGCTCTTAATGCACAGATACATAATCATTCGAAGTCTACGCTGGGTGTTCATCGTGGACACGGCCACAGTCCTCGACGTCTTTGGCCAGCTCCTTAAACATGGGCGCCGGTCCCGGCGGCAACGCCTGCGGCGAGTTCGGCGGCCCCGATGTCATCTGCCAGTTCGACGGAGTCACACGAGCTCCCAACAAACTACTGGCGGGACCTCGTTGTAACTTGACCCTATCTTTGTCCGCACGTCCCCTACTAGTGTTTACGCGGGGGGCTATGCTGAATCACTGAAGGTCCATCTCAAGGAGAGGCCATTGAGAAGTTTTCCTCATAGGCAGGCGCTTTTAGTTTGAAATACCTAAAAGCCTGAAATCCCAAAAGCCTTTTGAACCACGTGAAAAACCTTGAAAACCCCAACCTGACACCCTGAAATCCCCCGCAGCTTCAATAGAACCCCTGCGCTTCGAAGTGCAAGTCCAAGCTTGGCGCCGGAAGCTTCAAGAAAACGAGGTACGCATTTCGTTGCGCGATAATGAGTACACATATGTAGTATCATGCATGTATCGAATTGAAAGCATTTGAGGGGTCGTCGTCATGAGCATACCATCAGTTGCTGTTTCTCTCCTCACCCGCACAGCCCTGCAGCTCTGAAGCGCTGGGTGCTTGTCCATACACCCTGAGCGACTTTGCAAGTAGGTTCTGAGTAGAGATGCAAGTAGTGTAACCGTGGTTATCCTAGTTGCCGGTCTCATTATCATCTGCTGTCCAGGTCCCCTGACCCTTCAGGTAGCAATCTTTGCAACGCTGCACCCTGACTCCCAAAACAAACTGAAGACCCCTCCGAAAGCTTTACACCCACCAGGTGCACTGTGCGGCTGCAGTGTTGAGCCCCTTGGCTTTGCCAGGAATTCCCAGTCAGTCTGTTCAACATTTCTTATTGTAAGTTTTCTTGTTGCCGCGATGGCGCTATGCCGGTTCTTGTTATCGGCGTCGGCAGAAGCATTCATTGCCATCCCCGTGGCGATCGCTATCACCATCACCAGTGGCATGACCGTTCGTGTTGACGATGACGTTAAAGTTTTCACGCAGCGTCGCGTTGAATGAGGGTAGAGATTAGGGTTACTATCATCAGTATCACGAACATCGCCTTCGCCAGCATCACCATCATCGTCATGGCTGGCACGACAGTTCTGGTGGCGCCTGTTGTTATGCTTCTCAGCTACCATGGCTTCGTGGTTTCCTGGATGTGCGGTCTGCATCATCGTGGCCATGATTCACCCAAGAGCGAGTAAATAAGAATTTCATGAGCCCAAGAACTGGCGACAGTTGCCCCTGTCATCAAAAGAGTGTTCGACTGGCGCCGATTGTGACATGAAGCTCCGTGGAATGTTGTTGGTATCGCAGTAGGACTCATGAAAAAAGACGCTGCCATAAGGTCAGTCATGCGCAGGTCTTTGCAGACTCAGCGCGACATTTAAAATTGGAAAGCGGCTGGTGTAAATTCAGAGCCCTGAACCCCGACTCCTACGCCCATGGGTAAGACCCGAAAACCCTGAAAGTGCATAATTTTTTCTAGAAGATCCCTTGAAGGAGCCACACAACCCAAGACTGCAAAGCCGGGGGGGATGGCCAGACCTAGCCATGCCTTGGCTGCACATAGAACCCTTCTTAATCCTAACCTTGACCCTCAGCCCTACAACCCCAGCTCTAAAGCACTGAAGCCCTTCAGCCCTTACGCCCGTAGAGGCCGCACCTAAGAAAACCTGGGCGCTGGGGCTGTTCACGGGGCCCCCCTGAAGCCCAGGCTGCGGGTGCATTCTCTGCGGCACGGATGAAGGCCGGAGGTTTTGGGGTGTGGGGTTTAGGCTCCTTTAAGGAATCCTTGAAGGTATTCTTTCAAGAGATCTTTGAAGGGATCATTCAAGGATCCAGTAAGGAATCCTATACATGTCCATGAGGGGCAGAGATTACATCTCCTCCCCGGACCTTATTCTTGATTATGAATTCCGTATATAAGTTAGTTATATAGGTCTTGAAAACGGCAGGCTATTCGGGGTGCAGGTCGGCGTTAGGGTTTAAGGCGTCTTAAGGCTCCTTGTTAACATGCCTTTACTTTATACCGATACCCCCTTTTAGGGCTCTAGGGGTTTGGTTTAGGGTTTAGGGTTTAGATACCGATACCTCCAAATCCCCGTTCTATTTATTCAGGTCCCTCTATTCAGCAAGCATATACCATTTCCGCTTTTTAACCATGCAGGGGCCTAGGTCATCCTGAGACCAAACTCACACCCCTACACAGAAGCCCACTACTACTTGGAGGGTCGGGGGACTTAGTAACTGGTTATTTTAGGGACTTATAAGTACCATAACCCCAATTAGGGTCCCTTTTAAGGTACTTATAAGTCTACTTACTAACTACTTACTAAGTCCCCCGACCCCCCAAGTAGGTTCCTGAGAGTACCCTTTTGCACTTGTTGTTTTCGGGTCCCCGGATTAAACTGAAGACCCAGCACCTGCACTCCCATAGGAAGACGCCGCAGCGAAATGCCTAGCCCCTGGGTAAGTCCCTAGATGAGACACTGGAACCCGTTTCTGGATGGAAGGTCTAGGTGCAGCTTTATCCTGTTTAGTTTGATGCTCCTGCTCGGCTTGGTCTACAACGGCAACAGCTAGATCGGCGTCAACGGACCAGACGAGGACTGACTGTCACTGCTGCCTGGGTTTGCAAGTGATCTGCACATGGGGATGCACCACAGCTCTACTTGGAGGGTCGGGGGACTTAGTAACTGGAGATTTTAGGGACTTATAAGTACCATAACCCCAATTAGGGTCCCTTTTAGGGCACTTATAAGTCTACTTACTAACTACTTACTAAGTCCCCCGACCCCCCAAGTATGAACCACCGTCATCAGCAGCATGGAGTCTGGTTCCGGTTTTGACGTGTAGTTGCCGCATGCATTCATCGCGACTTGAGTCAGAGTTTGAAAAGGCGGCCGTTCCCGGGCCCAAGAGCGTCAGGAGCATCAGGACCTCTTGTGGGACATCCTTCCGTCTGCAGCAATGACTTGGTCTCTGCAGATCCGTGTTGAGCACTACCAAACCTCCAGATGCTTCATACGGCCAATCAGAGAGTACGTCGCCCACTCCGAGAACTTCCGCCGCAAATACGAGGACAAGGTCGCAGAACTCAAAGACGCGTTCGTCTCATAGATGCTCGAGTGGATCAGGAGGCGTTGGGCGGAGGACGAGCAGATGGACTCGGACAGCGCCAAGTTCTTCGCCAACTTTGTGGATGACACCGAACGATACCCAGAAGGGGCCTTTCGCACCATTCTGAAAGTATCTTACAAGCTTTCACGCGAGGATGGGGACGCGTGGGCCAATGTGGCGTATAAGTATGTCATCGCTCAAAATCCATGGGTGGTGAGCCGATCGGAACTGGCTAGGATGTCAGCTCAGTACTTTCAAGGCCTTGACGGCTTCCGGTTCACACAAGTCGATGATGGGGCCATCTGGTCCAAGGAAATTTCCGAGTGGTCTTCAGTAGATGTGGACAGTAGCATATGTAACCTATGATAGCCGGATGGGGGCAATTTTGTAATCACTTTGCGGTGGAGTTGGTATCCCAATGCCGTTTCCGCAGTGATGCAGTTAGTCCTCAACCACAACGTTTATGCATCGAAATTGGAGATGCCCCTAGTTACGGCGAGGACGCTGCACTTGCACCTGCATCCTTACAGAGAAGTGGGCAGCGCTAAAACCTCACGTCCGTTCCAGCTGCTTGTTCTAACGCTCATGAGGCTATTTTTGTGCCTCTTGTGCTTGTTCACTGTTCCCTGCTTTTGCTTTTCTCCATCAGAATAAATGGTTTTTGTCTTCGTTTTAGACTCCGAACCCCGATTGGAAACAGGAGCAACTCCGAACCCCAATTGGAAACCGAACCCCAACTGGAAGCAGGAAGAACACTGAAGAGGAACAGTCCCGACACCCCTCCCGAGACTCCCTTTGAAGATCCTTGATGCCAGGAGTTGTGCAACTACAACTACACTCTCCATGACACCGGGCGCTACACAGACTACGGCCTCTACAGCTGCCTGTGCCTTGGTTGGGGTTCTCGTAATCGGCATAAAACGAAAGCTTGACGAAACAAGCGCAAAACCCACACAAAACAACCAGAAAGGGAGCCAAAACATGAGCCAACCAGAAACCAATCAAACTGGGGTGTAGGATTGCTACAAACATAACATGATGTTAATGATAGTGTTAGTGTTGTTAAACTATGGCGAAAATACATACTCCACACACTCCATAATTTCTTCGGCTGTCGTGTTTTAGCAATCACACCAACCGACCAGTTAAACATCAAAGCATTCGCGTATTATTTCCTTCACTATAGCTTGTTTAGCGATAGCAAAGCCGTTAAATCTCACAGAAACGGCTTTTGTATCTTATATTCCTCAATTACCTCTGTAACCTTACCTATATCGGGAAACCCCACTTGATACACAACATTAAATTACGGTGACACACACTAAGACGCTCACGGTCGTCTGATATCTCCATTCTAGGAATCCTTCAGTGGTGCAGGCGATATCGTCGAGTGGTGCAGCACGTCGACCCTGGTCGAGGAGTGCAGTCGCTGGGACGGAAGAATTCTATCAGGGTGAGTATAAAGGATGCAATAAGATCGGGTTTTGGGTGACTTTGCAAGGCTGACAAGAAACCGGGCACATTTCGAACGCTGAGAAGGCCCTGAACCCACACTCCCAAAGAAGTCCAAAATTCACTAGAATTTTTGCAATAGTACGAACTAACAAGCATGTGGGAGTTTCCGAAAATAGGGGTACCTTGTTTTGGGGGCCCTTATAATAAGGATCCTACTATTTCGGATACTATATTTGGGTCCCCTATTTTCGGAAACTCCCATGTGGAAGCCTTATTAATGTACAGAACGACAGCTTAGGAATTTCCGCTTTCCGCTCCGCGGCCGTGACCCTGGCGGTGGGATGCAACTTGGCTGGGCTGCTGCAGACCTCTTTGCAGTAGTTTCTGCAAGTTTCGTTTCCTCAAGTAGGGGTCCTATATGAAAGATATGATAGCTATATAGTAGTAAGGACCCTACTATTTAGCGTCGTGAGGGTTTGGGGTTTTGGGGCTTAGGGTTCACAGCCGCGGGCTCAGGTTGCCTCCCGCTTGGGTCTTTTTTGAAAGGCTTTGATGGGGGTTCTCATGAGGGTTCTTACCGAGGTTGTGTTGGTTGGGGGTGGAGCCATTGAAGGGTCCCTGGCTTTCTTGCTTTGCATGTGCTTACGAATGCTAAACCCGGAACTATATCTTTTCTTGGGGTTCCTTATTGTAAATATACTATACAGGAGCCCAAAACACTGTTCTGATTATTAAGGCCCCTACATCACAGAAAGGGCATTGCACTTGACAAGAAAACCCTACTAAGAGGTACCTCGTGACAAATGCCGAACATGATTTCTGCGAGACCGCCACAAGAGTGCTGTAAGGAACCCTATCAGAGCTATACAAGAATCTTATGCGACCCTGAAATGCCAAGAGTTTGACGCCTCCAACACCAAATTTGACACCTGCGCTCCCTACCCTCAATCTTGTTTCTTTAAGGACTTAAGGTTCAGAGCTTGACCGGGAGTTTGTCCGGTTGATGAAGGCTTCAGGTTGCAGGGCTGGGTTTAGGGACTTTTTTGCGTTTGGTTTAAGATTTTACAGGGTTTGGGTGTAGGGTTTTCTGGAAGACAGCAGCAACCTGCAACCGAAGACACGCCACAAGCCCGTGTTCTGTTGGCATGTTGCAGCCAAAAAACCCCAAACCCCAAGATCCGAAATCTCAGGAACCTCCTGCAGCCAAGCCGATGCAATCCAAAGAAGTGGAAAAAGGGGTTGTCGAGGGTTTCAGAGGGTGGTATGAAGGTTTCATGCGGCAAAATGTTCGTGTGGAATTGGCTTCCCTGAGGTACCCTCACTTTGGGGGCCTGTTGTACCAAGCATGGACCTGCACGACCTTAAGTCCACTAGACTAAACCCTAAACCCTAAACCCTAAACCCTAAACCCTAAACTAATTTACGCCCTAAGTAACCAGACCAGGGTGCTGGGGTATCGTATAGACAAAATATGTTAGGATGCCCAGTAGTACCCTTATTCCCTTTTTGTAGTCCTAGGTCCCTTATAAAGTTACCCAATACCAAAAAAAGAGGCCTTTTTATTCTTAGGTTAATGGGTATCCTAGTATGTTAAGGTGCCCAGAGGGATGGTGCAAAATATGTACCAGTCATTATTCAGGCCTCTATGTGATGATGATGATGTATATGACCAGAAAGCTGTGCATGAAGATGCAGACGGACCGGAAATCTTCAAACCCGGTCATGTGGCATCAGGTTATGGTTTTGTGGGTTCATGTACTTATAAGGTTCAGGATTGAAACCCTAAACCCTAAACCCTAAACCGTTTGAAGCCTACCATGGGTTGAGAGTGCACATACTGAGTCCTAAACGCAAGGACCTGAAATCCTGAAATGCTCGGGTCTCCAAGCTTGAAGCATAAAGGGAACTCCAGAAAGTTGGAATATGGTTTCATGGTAGGATACCCTATAACTTACCTTAAAGGGGCTATACGATAATGATATTCCAACTTTCTGGCTTCTACTGTAAGAAGGCTTCAGTTTCCCTTACGTTGAGTTCTAAACGCGTTCAACCCACAAGCCACTTAAGCGCAGAGGCTTGAATCATGAGTAACCCTATGCTCCCAGAGTGCCATCTGCAAGTATGAGTTTATATACCCCAAACCTTATATGAAGCAGCCCCAAGCCCGAAAGCCCATGTCCCATGGTGCAGGGTGTGAAGCTTGTGAGAGCTTATAGTAGAGAATCCAGAAGGTTGGAACATAGCTTCAGCAGGATTGGTGCTAGGATCCCTTATACTTTACTTTAACGGCATGGGGATAATGATGCTCCAACGTTCTGGCTTCTACTGTAGGGTCTGGTGTGAGGCATTGGGTTCAGGGTAAGGCTTTCGGGTGGGGGGTTGAACTTTTAACTCTCGGACGCGAGCCTGATCGGCAAATGTGGAATTCCATGGATAATGATGGGGATGCTGGAGATGACGATGACTGTCATGATGACGACGACTGTCGCAATGATGAAGACGGTCGAGATGATCCTGCTGATGATGGTGCGATGGCTATCATCTGGCCACTGCAGTTGTTGTTGCTGCTGCTGCTGCTGGGGTGCTTGACTTTCCCGTCGTTGTTGTCATCATTGCTAGGATTCTTCTTTCCTTTTTTCTGTCTACTCCATCATGGCCCCAGACCCTAAAACTCCTCTATTGCACTTCAAAAAACCCTAAATCCCAATGCCCCAAGGCCTTCACAGCCGCAGATCCTAAACCCGCCGCTGCCCTCTCCTAAACCCTAAAGCTTAAGTCCTAAACCCTAAACCCTGGATCCTAAACCCTAAACCAAGCTTAAATCCTAAGCCTAAGTCCTAAACCCTAAACACTATCCTCCTCGCAGCTTTGCGAAGCCCTAAACCTAAACCTTAAACCTTCAGCCCTAAACCCTAAACCCCAAACCCCAGACCTTAAACCCCTAATCCTTCAACCGCAGCTTTCCGAAACCCTAAAGCTAAACCTTAAACCATAACCTCAAACCTTAATCCTTCAACCGCAGCTTTCCGAAAGACGGGCAACAAAAAGACGACGCCCTCCCAGACCTGCCTCGAAAACGATGGCGGACGATGACATCACGGCCGCGGACGCGGAGATCGAGGAGAGACTTACCTTTGGTTTGTATTGAATGGAAGAATGGTAGTAATAGTAGTTATAATTGTACCCCATTCCTCCATTCCCTGCTAACCAACGGTAAGGAGACGAGACGGGGAGGGAGGGGAGGGGTTCTTTTTGGGGTTGAGGGTTAGGGTTTAGGGTTTAGGGTTTAGGGAGGGGGGCCAGAGATCCCAATACCCCTCCATTAAGGAATATACCTTGAAAGATAATTGGGTTCGGTGGGGGGAGGGTTCGTTTTTGGGGTTGAGGGCTTTGAGGGTGTAAGGGTGTAGGGGTTTGGGGTTTTAGGGTTTTAGGGGTTTAGGGTTTAAGGGTGTAAGGGTTTAGTGGTTTAGGGTTGTAGGGCTTTAGGGGTTTAGGGAGGCTTCCGTCGAGCGGTTCTATAAGGCATCCCCAATAAGGGGGGCTGGGTTCCTCAGAATCAGAAGGGTTCTAAACAGCATTGTTAATCAAGTGGGCTGTGCTCGAGGATTTTGATCCCGCAGCCTCAAGGAAGAGGTCATTACACTTGCAACTACTAACCCTAAACCCTAAACCCTAAACCTTAAACCGTTATGTTTCAGGGATCCTTCTGACTGAGGGGTTGAGGGTTTCGGGTTTATGGTATAGGGACCAATTAATACATTAATACATGCACCTAATGCTCAATTGCGCATAACTACCCGACGAAAGCTTCAGGTTCATGACCTTTGGCAACGCAGATCATATCCTAAGGTACTTGGGGGGCCGGGGGACTTAGTAAATAATTAGTGAGTAGACTTATAAGTACCCTA